AAGCGTCTTTTGGTTTAATAACTTTATAAAGTTCCCTCGGTTCTTCAATCTTCACTCTTCCGAGTTTCGATTCATATTCCATCGGCTCTTAAAGCTCCATCTACGATTATAAATTTGAGTAATTGCAGCGCAGATTGTTGTTCCTTGTTATCGATCAAACCCTAATTTGAGCACAAACACTGTAGAGCACATCGACCGACTTAGCTCTTCAGAAATCAGAAGTCAGAACATAGCGACTGGCCGATTCCTTCATCACAAGTTCACGGTATCGATCATAGCGACTGGGCGATTTCTTTTGTTCTTCATCAATCATCACGGTAATGTTTTTCATCAATCAAAATTCCTTACTTTGTGTTCTTTTTTAGTTTAGGTTATCGATCATATAGCTATATTTTCTGATTTTCTTGCTATGTGATTTGCAATAAATCAGAACACACATGAAGGAACAGAACCAAGCTTGACTTTTACCGCCATTATTGCTTTTACACTGATTATCCCCGAAATACCTTAAACCTTCTTTCCAAACTCAAGCTTAACATATTACCTTCTATCTACAAATTATGTGGTTGTGTTTTTTTCTCAAGAACATGGATGCAATAGAACCTGTTATGAAATTATATGTATATGTGCTGGAAGTAATGCTTATGTTTTTTGTATAGAAATTATATGTATATGTGCATTGTGCAGCAGAACCTGTTATTTCATTAACTGTTATTTAAGCTTTGAATATGTTATTTAAGCTTTGAATCTGTTATTTCAGTAATGCTTATGTTTTTCGTATAGAAATTATATGTATATGTGCATTGTGCAGCAGAACTTGTTATTTCATTAACTGTTATTTAAGCTTTGAATCTGTTATTTCTTTCTGTTCATATTTCTTTCTGTTATTTCTTTTTGTCCAGATAATATAGAACCTGTTATTTCTTTCTGTCCAGATAATATAGAACCATATTTATTAGCAGAACCTGCTGTAGTTATGAAGAAGGCAAAGCTCGATTCAACAATAGAACCTGCTGTAGTTGTGGCTCCACAGGTATTTTTACTACCATTTCAACTTATTGAATTTCATCAAGTTTACTACTCTTTCAATTCATTACATACCTAAATATTATACTTTTTTTGAAGGATGTTGACCTTGAAGAAGATGACATTGATGTGGTTGATGTAGATGTTAAAATAGAAGGTGAAGAGAACGATGGTCGAAGGTATGGAGGTTTTTTGAAAGACTTCCAATTGGTAATGATGGGAGGCAAAGGGCAAAATGTAAGAGATGCTCAAAAAGATACATCTGTGAAACAAAAAATGGAACATGAAGCTTGCCAGGTCACATAAGAAAGTGTCCTAGGAGAGATACAAGTGACATTCACAACTACTTATTTCAAAATCTGGTGGTTCAATGTCTATGAATTCCACAGTTTTTAAACCCGAAAAATTCCGTGAGCTTGTGAGTGAAGCTATTGTCAATCATGATTTACATTTTAAATTTGTGGAGTATGAGGGAATTAGAGAAGTATTTCGGTACTTAAATGAAAATGTTGTCACTTATACTACAAACACAGCTAATTCAGATGTTGTGAGCCTGTTTAACAGGGAAAAAATCAGACTTAAGAAATTACTGGAGTTAAACCCGGGTAGAATTTCTTTAATTTCTGATTTGTGGACTTCAATTAATACGGATGGTTTTTTGTGTGTGACTTGTCACTTCATTGATGAGGGGTGGAAATTGCAAAAACGAATTTTAAGCTTTCAATATATGCCACCCCCACATAGTGGCGTATGCTTAACAGAAATGATTTCCACCAGAAATGATTTCCACTTTATTGACCGATTGGGGGATTGATAAAAAGTTGTTTACTATCACATTAGACAATGCATCAAGTAATGATACTTTTGTCAATCTACTAAAAGGTCAATTGTGCAATGAAGGTGCTCTTCGTAGTAATTGAGATAATTTTCATATTTGGTGTTGTGCTCGTGTGCTAAATTTGGTTGTGCAATATGGTTTGAAAGCTATTGATGAAGGGATTGTTAAAATACGAGAGTCTATCAAGTATGTGAAGGGTTCTCAAGCAAGGAGAAAGAAATTTATTAATTGTGTGAAATATGTCAATTTGAATCCAAAAACAGGTTTGCGTCAAGATGTTCCTACCCGATGGAATGCCACTTATCTTATGATTGAAAGTGCTTTATTTTATCGAGGTGCTTTCTTTCATTTAGCACTTGGCGATTCTAATTATTTGGATTGCCCAACTCATGATGAATGGGGTAAATTAGAAAAGATTTTTAGATTCTTGGAGGTTTTTTATGAAGTTACGTGCATCTTTTCTGGAAACAAAAACTCCACAGCAAACTTATATTTTCCTTCTGTTTCTATGGTTGAAAAAACTTTAAAAGAAAAAATGGTAAGTTCAGATAAGTTTATGAAGGAAATGGCTTCCAAAATGTATGAGAAGTTTTCAAAGTATTGGTCCGAGTATAGTGTGATTTTGGCAATGGCTGCAGTTTTGGATCCGCGTTATAAAATACAGTACGTTGAGTTTATTTATAAAAACCTATACGGAAGCAAATCTTTTGAACACATTGATCGTGTAAGGGAGAGATTATTTGATCTCTTTAAAGAGTATGTACTTGATTCACACGTGTCTTGTAAAAGTTCAACAATATCAAGGGGTGATTCAAGAAAGGTTGTGGATGAGAAGAAAAGTGACATGGTGTTTAGTAAAAGCACGAAAGAGATGTTAAAGGTAAAAAACTACTTATTAAATATTTTGTGATCTTAACTTAATGTATAATTTTTTTCCTCTTAATAATTTTTTTTTTCACAGGAGTTCACAACTTATGAGAGTACAAATTTTGTTTTGTCTCAAAAATCACAGTTGGAGATGTACTTAGATGAGCCAAGAAGTGACATAGATGAGGATTTAGATGTTCTATCTTTTTGGAAAGCACATAAATATCGTTATCCGGAGCCTGCTTCTATGGCTCGGGATATTTTAAGCATCCCGGTCTCTACTGTAGCATCCGAATCTGCCTTTAGTAATGGTGGTCGTGTTCTTAATCAATATCGAAGTTTTTTGAAGCATGACATTGTTGAGGCTATAATTTGTACCAAAGATTGGTTGTTTGCAACTAAAGGTATTTGTTTTTGTTACTTTCTGAAAATTTGAATTTCGTGTATTAATTAACTTTTTTTTTATTAATTTTATGTTATGTTTTTTATTTTGTAGGTGATGAAGAGTTATCTTTAGAAGAACTTACCGATGATGTCATGCAAATGGATAACAAGTATACACAAGTTGAGGACGTTTAGTACCATTTTATGTTTTTTTTGTCTTGTTTCTCATTTTAAGCATGTATTAATTTGAGGATATTGGTATTTTTTTTGTTATTTTATCGTGTTGTCGTATTTTTCGTTTTTTAAACATGAATTAATTAAACAAAAGAAAATTTTATGCTACTTTTGTCGTGTTGTCGTGTAAGTCATGTTTGTCGGTTTTTTAATAAATTCGTGTTCGTGTTAGAAAAAAAAACACGGCGTCGTGTCGTGTCGTTTTCGGGTTATGTAAAAACAATTCGTGTCGTGTCGTGTTACGCAAATACACGAAACGACTACCCGAATTGACAGGCCTAAGCCAAAGATCCATAGGATGCATGTACACTTAGGTATATCGTTGTTTCGATTTTTCCGCTGCCTAGTTTTAGAGTGTATTTGATGCGTAGAAAACTCAATAGTGGTATCAGAGCCATTGGTTCATGGTTACTTTCATCCTAGATCCATGTTTTCTGTAAAAACTTGTTTGGAATTGAATGATGAACGAATAATTGAAAAATTCGTAATGTGTTGAAACCCTAGTCGTAGCTCACGACGTGAACTGAGAGTTTACGACATGAACTTAACAGATTCGGGATTTTCGAATTTTCCTTTAATTTTCAAATATGAAGCTTTGATAAACATGGATAAATACCTAATTTAAATTGTTTTTGAATCTGGAAAATTAATAAATATTATTTAAATGTGTTTATTTAAATTTGAATATTTTTATTGGTAATTGTTAAATATTATTTAAATATGTTTATTTGAATTTGGATATTTATCTATTATTTAAATAGTGAATTTAATATTTAAGATTATTTGTAATAGAGATTTATAAATTTGAATATTACACCCATATGATTTATTAATTGTTACATTGCGTCCTCGCAATTAATTAGAATTAATAATAGACAACTAAATTTAAAGAGTTTTAAATTTACCCCTTGTATTTATTTATATTAGAATTGTGTCTACTATATGTATAAGAAAGTTACAACATGCGCCATCACGTGTTTAAATGTTGACATTGTCAGTCTTACCTCGACTATGCTCACCCGTTCTAATGTAGGGGTTTAAGGAGGTCTCTTTGATTCCTAATGAGGTCGGTTTTTAATATGTTTCACGCTTACCACCCTCACCCCCTATTGCATTTTGAGAATGGAGTTACCGAAAGGGTTTGATAGTGATAATGGTCAATCTAAAATTATTCTAAATACAAGTATAAAACAAAATCTTATTTTATTAATAGAATGTGAGTTTATATTATCCATGAAATTGCACATTCTCTTTATATTCTGTTGGTGGAGCTCGTGTGGTTAACCGGCACATCAATCTAGGGTATAGTTGAGAATGATATGGAACTTGCGAATCTCAAGCGTAACTTGAGTCGGGGGCCATGCGATTTTGCAAGGTTAATTTTCAATCTATTTAATGTGAATCTTATGTTATCCATAAAAGTTGCACATTCTCTTTATAACTTGTTGATAGATCTCGTGTGGTTAACCGGCACGTCAATTTGAGAGTATAGGTAGAGAATGATGTGGAACTCGCGAATCTCAAGCGTAACTTCAGCCGGGGACCACGCGATTTTGTATGGTCGATTCACCATCTGTTCAATGATCCGCGGCGACCCCGTCATTGAATTTGAGATGAACATAATCCGAGATTAACATGCCATTGGTAGTCAATGAATCTCAAAGATCTAGGAATTTCATGGTGATCGAAATTGGCAAAGGGATTTGCCTACCTAAATAACTTTATGGTGTGTTTACGGCATCCATTTACACATCATGGAGCCAAATATGGATCCTAGCCTTCTAAAATAATTTTATTTAGGGTGATTATTTTCTAAGGATAAGTAAAACAAACTATAATGGAATTTGTCATTGAATGGTATCTATAACCTTATCCACTAATATCTACTGCTATAAAACCTTTGAAAAGATTAGCTATGAGGATGATCAATCTTGTCAATTTCGTAGTTTGGGAATAGTTCTCATAAACGAAAGGAAATATCATGCCTTTGTTAAAGCTCTTCCTAGGTTACTTCAAACATTGCATTCTAAATTGTTAGAAAGAGCAATTATCAAATGTACGTTGTAAATTGACATATTGAAGTAAAATAGAATTTCTTTGAGTTAGGAGTTGACTATGGTTAGTCGACTAGCTAACATGTACATATGATCAGTTCATTATGTTTTTGATATGAACAACTTGGAATGTCCATTAAGGAGTTGTGTAGCATGTTGAGGTTTCATTTTGGAACTAGCATGGCCAATCATAGAAACTCATACTTCAAAACACTCCCATATTTTACTATAATGAATAGAAGTGTCAAGAAGAAGAAAGCCAATTGCCCACGGTTTAAAAGGCGGTTAGTGTGGGTATACCTAATGTAGGCCCTAATACCTAGGACAAAGGAAGGCTTATTCTAAGACATGTTCTATAGCTGCTTGTTTCCATAACAAGAAAAGGACTAAGAAATCAAAATTGCCCAAATGTATATTTGAGGTGAAAGGACTGGAACATGAAGAAGTTAAATTTGATCATGGATCACGAGCCCGTGCTACTTTCCATTGGATCAAAAGATAACTAGTTCCCCCATGTTTGGTGTTCAATCAAATATATGGATTTATAATGCCATCAAAACATTACTTCTAAACCTTGAGTGTTTTGCTAAGGATTAGTGCTGACATTTGCAAGAATGTGCAGTCACTAAAATGAAGTAAGAAGACTAAAACATGGAGAAGATAATTTGATCATGAATGCCAAGCCCTTGCTACATTCATAGGATCAAAAGAAAATTCTTTTCAAAAAATGTTTAGTCTATGGTATTATAATTGAAATTGTTTATACTATAATTCATGAGATAGTTCTGACTTATTTAAATGTGGAGCATTCTAACATGTTAAAAGAAAGTCATGAAATCTATGAAGCTAGTATAGTAGCAATAGTTCAACTAATGTATCATTCAGATTGACCATAATAAGTACTTATTCAAATACATCCAAATGTTTGGGTGAAATGTATTTTTGGAATCATAGTATTGGATACATAAATGAGAAATGCATTACCAAGTATCCAGTTGGATCAGATTTTGGATATCATTTGACCTCGAGTCTTATGATAAATGCAAATCTTGTTTATCAAGATAGATGATGAATGTGTCACTGGGTGATGTGAGTATCTGTTGGAATTAGTTCACACTAATGGACCGTTCAGATTAACCACGATACATATTGAGACCAACTTCGTATGAAAGTGAGTCTGGAACCTCTCAGGTGTTCAGAGCTCTCATATAGCGAAGTTAAGAATCAATTGGGCAATAGGATGAGGCACTCATAGTGATAATCTCAGTCCAAACTTTATCGATCATCTAAGTGATCTTGAAATAGTTTCATGATCTATCTCCGCCCAAAACACTACCACCAGGAAGTGTTAGTTGGATAGAGAAACAAATCATTCATTGATTTTGTACTAGATGAGTCGCATTGTGTTTACTGACAATTCGTGAATTGTACCATGAATAGTGTTACAAGAAGTCCTTTAATCTTGTGCCAACCAAGTAGGTTCTTGAAACACTCTATGATATGTGAAGTGGGATTCTATCCTCACTGCCATACATGAAAGTCTATGATTATGAGGCTTATGCTCGTCGTGAAACGCTCGACAATCTAGGACTTTGAATAGATATGTGTTATCTCGTTGCAGAGCCCATCAAGCATTTTGGATAATTATTTAACAACCTTCTGAAAACAAAGTGTATGTTGCTCAAAGGGCAGTCTTCCAAGAGAGGGAGCTGATTTCCAAAAGGGCTAGTGGGAGCCACATTGATCTTGATGAGATTCAAGAGTCAACCAACGAGGAGCCTAAAGTTGGACATAGCATTCAATTTGGAATTGAAAGAGCTATTAAGGAAACTGACATATTTCCACTTTTTCCTTATAGATCTGATAGAAGACATCATGAACCTTGTTATATAAGAGTTTATATTACTAAGGTATGTGAGTCACTGGTAGATAGCAATCAGAGTGTACCAGCTATCGGAAGCTATGGTAGGCCCTAAAGGCTACAACATAGAAGGAGAAAATGGAAAGAGAGATTCAATCCATGTGTGTTGTAATTAGGTAGATCAAGCACTTAACCTTAGCCCTTAAGTGCAAGTGGATCTTCAAGCAGAGACAGTCATAGATTGGAACAAACACATAATTAAACCAAGATAGGTTTTGAAGGATGTGTAAGCTTAATAAGTTCATTTATGGACCGAAATAAGCATCTCGCAAGTAGGATGATTATTTCAATGAGAAAGTTCAAGGAGTTTGAATTTCGAAAAATAAAGATAAACCATATATATGTCAAAGCTAGTGGGAGAAATTGGAATCTTTGTTTCAATGACAAAAGTTCAAGGAGTTTGGATTTCGAGAAACATAGATAAGCCATATATGTCAGTGCTAGTGGGAACACTGTAGTCACCCTTGTATTGTACATAGACAATGTACGATTTATAGGAAACTATATTCTAACTTAGCAGGTGTAAAAGCTTGGCTTGGTATGAGAACTGTTTCGCTATGATATACACGGGAGATACAAGACACACGCATAATAAGGATCTATGGAGATAGATCAAAGTTATTCATTGGATTAAGCCAAACTACATGGAATGTTGAGGAAACTTGAAAAGGAGTTTAGGCTTATTACAATATGGCATGACATTGAGCAATGCTAATGTCCTAGTTCTATTAGTGAGCTAAAGCAAATGATTCGTGTCCCACATGCTTCTGTTATGGGATCGATCATACATGCCATGACTTGTACCACATCTAATGACATGTATGCCTCGTGCAACACAAGTTGGATTAGTTCAATTTTGGCAAGAATCAATGAATCAAGATCAAGAACATTCTTAAGTGTCCTTGGACGAGGACAAAATAGATGATCTTGATAGTATGGAAGAGATCATTGTAAGAGTTACATTGATGCTAATTTCCATAACAATA